GACTATTAAACCACTAACCCAAATCTAACACGCCATATTCGATCCATTATTAACCCTCCCAAATGGTTGCACGAGACCGGATAAGTTAGAGCGACCGACTCGCTGATTTTACATTTACACCGGGCATGCAGACCCCTAATTATAACCGGGTATTTTCCAAGGGGGTTTTAAAAATGGGGGTCTTTTAGTCAGTGCACTATGGTAAGTTTCAACATGCCAGGACATTTGGACGGTGACATAAAAATGGTTACGAGTACATATTTATGTATCAGCCAATTAATTCGACAAAATCTCAGTTTGTTATCCTTAAATTTAACAGACAAAACACTACTACATGATTCTGCCAAGAGTGCAATTTAAAATTCATAACACTAAATGTTGATGTAAGTTTTATTAATTTATCTTTAAGTACTTAAAATTTATTTTCAATCATGTTTGTTAATTTATTTTAATGTCTTTACTCTATCGGAATTTCCACGTTATCTACCGGAGCGCTGCCAATGACGATTTTCGATAATGCTCTCGTGATCTCTTGCATGTTAATGGGCTTTGAAGTGTACTTATTTTGACCTGAATGTTTTTGTACGATACTTGCTTCTAAGTATTGCTTATTAGCCTCTAAGGATTGTTCATCAGCTTTTAAGAATTGCTTTTTAATTTTCCTTTTATTACTCTTATGCGCAAGTTCTTCGATCCAAGCAGTAATTACCGCATTAATAAATTTAGCAGTCGGTCTTTCTTCTGGATCTGATTCTATACATTGCTTAGCTAATTCAACGTAACATTCAGGAGTCCCAAGTGAGAATTCTGGTCGCAACCCACTACAAATTCTTATTGCTAGGTCATTATTAAATTCGTAAACATCGAAAACCTTTTCTCCTGTTAATATTTCCCACATAATTATACCAAATGAATAGATATCAGCTGCTTGTGTATATGGTTGACTTGATAAAACTTCTGGTGCAACATAAGGTAAAATTCCAACAATTTTGTTGTCGTTTTTAGCAGGTGATGTAAGACCTAAGTCCGCGATATACGCATTATCTAAATCGTCTTGTAATATGTTACCACTATGTAAATCTTTGTGAATATATCCTTGTGAATGAATAGCTTCAAGATCAGATGCTATACAACTTAATAAATTTAATTTTTTTTTCCATTTCATTTGCGATACTTCGCGAAGATTATCACGTAAAGAACCTTTATCTGCATGATGTAAAATAAGAATGTAATTTCCTGAATTATCTCTCGATAGCCCGTAGCACCTTAAGAATGATGGATTTTTATACCCGACCTCGCAAAACGCTTTCAACTTTAAAAATTGAAGATATTAATTATAAATTTTAACCATTAAACAAGCTTAATAAATTTACCTCATCAAAAAAACCCTGATCGCAAATTATTTTAAATGCGAATAAATAATCTTTAATGAAATTCTTATAAAAAATTCTGCAATTAGCACGATAAACGGTTGCGAATCCTCCTTTTCCAATCTCTTTAATATCTTCGAGTTTATCATATGGGATCCATAATAATTGGTATTTCTCATCATCTAATATTTTTTTAACATTATCATCTATACCAAAATAAGAGAATTTCTTTATTTCTGTTTAAAATTAAATTAAAATATTAAAATAAATAAAATAATAAATAAAAAAAAGAATAATCTGCAGGATAATTACCTTTAAACTTGCTTCTTTCCCTATTTTTAAACTATTAATATTGCTTAATATTTTTTATACAAATTTTAAGAAAAAAGGCTTACATTTTAAACCAATATTCAGCCTCTTTTAAATCCTTTTTTGTTCCGATTCCGTTTCTATAACAATAACCAATGTCTTTCATTGCTGAGGTGCAACCAATTTTAGCTAATTTGAGATACAACTCAAAAGCCCTTTTCAAGTTTATTTCGACTCCTGTTCCATTTTGATAACAACATCCAACATTATATGTTCCAGTGTTGTTTCCCATCTTCGCAGATTTTTGATAGTAAATAAATGCCTTATGTTCATCCTTTTCGACTCCAATTCCATTTTCATAAAAATAACCGAGCTGATTTGTTCCTTTAACATGACCCATATCATCAGATTTTTGATAATAAATGAATGCCCTATGTTCATCCTTTTCAACTCCAATTCCATTTTCATAGCAATATCCAACTCCAAATATTCCATTAGAATTACCCATCTCTGCCGACTTTCGGTAATAAATAAATACCTTATGTTCATCTTTTTCAACTCCAATTCCATCTTTATAACAGTTGCCAAGTGCAAATATTCCATCAGCATCTCCTATTTCTGCAGATTTTTGATAATAAATGAATGCCTTATGCTCATCCTTTTCGACTCCAATTCCTTTTTCATAACAACATCCAACATTAAATGTTCCGCTAGCGTCTCCCATCTCTGCAGATTTTTTATAATAAATGAATGCCTTATGTTCATCCTTTTCAACTCCGATTCCTTTTTCATAGCAATACCCAACATCAAATACTCCATCAGCATACCCCATCTCTGCAGATTTTTGATAGTATTCAAAAGCTTTTCGAAAGTCTTTTTCAACTCCATTACCGTACCAGTATTGCTCGCCCTTGTCATAAAGTTCTTTACCAGTTTGGTCCATGGTTAAAACATGAGGTAAAAAGATATATTTTAGCTTAACGCCAAAAGTTAATTTAGCTTTATTTAATTACATGCATGTTGAATGTTGAACAATGTTGTTTCCATAAAGTAACCTTATTCCTTTATTAGAATTAACAAGTGAACACTTGTGTTCATAATTGGTGATCTTATAATTATTAATAAAATAGACCTTTTAGCCAATTACTATTCATACCCAATTTTTGCTATTTATACCATCTACCCCTGTGCAAAAAGAGTACGGATAGCAAAAACGGGGGTGTAAATAACAATGCTCAAACTTTATTAATAAATTTATAGAAAAATTATTGCTTTATCTATAAAAGTAAAAACTCTACGACATAAAATTTAAATATTATTTGAGAACATGATGAAAAAAATTGAATTCAGATGACAAAATATACTGAAATAGCATTTTTTGAGCCAAAATCGAAACTTATAAAGAGCAAAATGTATAAATTGATATTTTACCATTAGGATGTTCAAAATACTAATTAATCAAAACAGGGTATTTTTTTTACGCGTATCGATTTACGTATATTGTACATAACAGATAAATTAAATTACATTTCTTGGTTTAATTAATAGACCAAATTATATTAAAAAAAATTTTTTTTTAAATGAATTCTAGACTAATACAATTGTGAAATAGAATCACTTTTTTAATAACTTTAAAAATTATTGAAATAAAATTTCGAATACAAAATATCTTGAAAATTTTAAAGAAATTACATGTTGAGCTTTCATTTTTTTTTTAAAAAAAAAAATGAAAATTTGCCTATTAATTAGGATATGTGTTTACATGTGTAAATCGATATCTGTAAAAAATCCGACTATATTTGATTAATTATTGTGCAGCGCAGACCACGGTATCCCCGTGCAAAATACTCTATAAAAATTTCATGATAGGAAGTAAAATACCCGGGGGATTTCCTGTGTAAAAGAAAGTTTTCATATGAAAAATCGATTAGAGTAGTGTCCTAGGTACTATACAAATTTCGTCCGTAGAATGTATTGTACCCAGAGTATCGTGGTCCGTGCTATATGGTAGTATTTTGAACACCCCATTATGCGTGCAATTACTTCAACGTGTGTTTTTACTTCCAATTAAGTTCAAACGGTATTAAACGCTATCAAAAAACATAAGTGATTTAGCAGTTTCAACGTATAATTCTAATTATAAAAGGATATCAAAAAGAAGAAAATAAAAGAACCAAGTTATTAGAAAAAAGAGATGTAGTTCGATAAGAGAGTTAAGAAGGTGAGTGCTTAATTCTAAGATATTGATAAGCGAAATTGAAATTGTACATTAAGAACCTAAGAAAAAACCTCTGCATATTAAAAATATAATCTCTAACAAAGTCTATAAAATTCATTATTTAATAGATCATTTTTTAATATTTAATCAACACTAAGTAAAAATTGACAATATTATCGCATTGTTTCATCTGGTTATGAATATACAAAACTGGGGAAATACTTACTAACTGTATTTATAAAATATAAAAAATGGCGAATGTAAAACTTTCTTTAGATATTGCAAGGAAATTTTTACAGTCGATCGATCTTTGCAAAGTAGCAAGAAAGTTTGAACAAACTGCAAAAAATAGATCCCTAAATACAGCTCGTAGGAACCAACTTTTAACAACCTACATTTAGAGAATAAGAAAAATTGCACTTATAGGGTTTAGTATATATTTGGACCGGGGTTAAAAGAAAACATAATAATTTTCTACAGAGAACTTTTTTTTTTTTATCTGAATCTTTAGTTCGTTATAGAAAGAATTTAAGCATTCTTTCAACGCTCATAAGCGTTTGAGAAGAGTTTATTATGCAATCCTCTTCACAAGGAAATAATATTTAATGCAACTGTAAAAACACGTAACAAAATTCATTGTAAACGTAAAAAAAATGAAAGTACCTAGTGGAAATGGTTGCCATCTCACTAATCATAAAAGTAAAATTTTATGCAATGCTTTTACTGTAAATTTAATTAATCTACAATACGTTGCTTTGTGAATAAACCCTATCTTAAAGCGACTTAAATTTCAAAAAAATGTAATCGGTGAAATAATTTGGAGTACACTTATGGTAAGTTTCAATATGCCAGGACATTTGGACGGTGACATAAAAGTGCACAATATTAGTTACAAGTACATATTTATGTATCAGCCAATTAATTCGACAAAATCTATCAGTTTGTTCATCCGTATTTAACAGACAAAACACTTCTACATGATTCTGCCAAGAGTGTGTTTTAAAATTCATAACACTAAATATTGATGTAAGTTTTATTATTTTAAGTGCTTAAATTTTATTTTCACGATACTAAGAACCATGTTTGTTAATTTATTTTAATGTCTACTCTATCGGAATTTCCACGTTATCTACCGGAGCACTGACAATGGCCATTTCCGATGATGCTTTTGTAATCTCTTGAATGTTAATGGGCTTTGATGTGTACTTATTTTGATTTGAATGTTTTTGTACGATACTTGCTTCTAAGGATTGCTTATTGACCTCTAAGGATTGCTCATCAGCTTCTAAGAATTGCTTTTTAATTATCCTTTTATTGCTCTTATGCGCAAGTTCTTCGATCCAAGCAGTAATTACCGCATCAATATATATAGCAGTCGGTCTTTCTTCTGGATCTGATTCCATACATTGCTTAGCTAATTCAACGTAACATTCAGGAGTCCCAGGTGCGAATTCTGGTCGCA